TACAGGATCTGGTCGCCCCGCACGGCCTGGCCGTCCAGCTCAGCAACGCCCAGCTCCGAAGCCCGCACGCAGTCGAGGCCGAAGTAGGGCTGCAGCCAGCACGGCAACTGGTGCTGGTAGAAGGCGTTCTGAACGTCACCCCCTGCGTACCACATCTGCTGGTGCGCCGAGACCTCGACCTCCCCGAAGCTGCTGCCCGAGAAGAGGTGGACCTTCGGCGCGGCTCGAAAGTGTTGGTTTCTCCGTCGGCAATCGATCGCGATCCGAATGCTAGAGTCCTTCTTCTTCACGAAAAAGACCTTGACGGCTTCCTTCCGACGGCGGCTCAGGCGGAAAATCCCCCGAGCAAGGCCATCCTTCACGAAGCCGATGTAGGCGTCGCGATTCTCCTTCAAAACTGCGTCGCCGTACAGTGTCGGCAGGCCCTCGACCTGCCGTACCTGCGCCGCCTCCTGCGGCTGCCGCAGCCACACATCTCGCTGGCCCTCTGTCATGTACCGGAGCAGGTCCGGCGGCGCGTTCGTCGGCAGCGGGACCGGGCGGTTGCCCCTCTTGGGCCAGCTCACCAACTCGCGCGAGTAGGGCCGAACTGGAGAGACCTCGTCGCCATCCATGTACGACGAGGGCGTGCTCCCGAGAAGCTCATGAAAGGCTTCCTGCGGACTGATCGAATTCACCGGCTCGGGGGCATGAGCCGCGTGAAGCGCCCGCACGTCGCTGTAGACCAGGGCGGAGGGGCCGGTCAGCTCCCCGACGGACTCCACCTCGGGCGTGTCAAAACCTGCCAGGCGATTGATGGCTCGAATCGTCTCGGCGGTCCTCTCTTGGACCTTGAGCCGTCGCCGAACACGTTGCTCCGTGCCCCGCGACAGCGCAGTGCAGCCACCAGTGTAACACTCCTGCCGAGGACAGGCCAAAGGAAGAAGGCCATCTCCTGCACCAGCAGCAGCATCACGACGGTGAAGTGACCCCTTGGCTTTCGCACCACGGCCGGGGTCCTCCGTGGTGCGCCCCTCTCTCAGGGGTGCTCCTGATCCTTCTTGCCGCCACCCTTGGAGGCCTTCTTGGCCGCCGCGGACTCCTCACGAGCCTTGCGGCGCTGCTTCATCACCTCCGTCTCCTTGCTCTTCTTGTCGGTCGCATAGTGCGCAAGCCCAGGGTTGAGCGCGACCCCGCGGCGCAGGCCGCCTGTGGGGTCACGCCCCACGTAATGCTCCAGGCCCTCCAGCTGCAGGGTCCCGTTGGTCTCCTCCACCAGCTGGTACAACCGCGCCAGCACCTCGACACTGGCCAGGTTGCCGCCATCGCACTGGTCATAGCACACAGAGAGATCCAGCGCCAGACCCACGAGGTCGTGGATGAGGTAGGCGGTGGAGTCGATGGCGATCTTCTGCTCCGTGGCCCACTTGGTCTGGCGGGCGTCGAACGTGCCGCCGTGGTCACGGACGTACTTGAAGAGCCACAGCGCCGACCTCTCGCCCTCAAGCGGGAAGTCCTCCATCGGCTCTGTGCTCATCTTGCTGACAGCATTGGCAAAGTCACACCAGCGACGCCCGCCTGGGTCGTAGGAGACGGGGGCGAGCACTCGAGCGTCACCGCCGTCGGCAGCCGAACCTCCTTCCACTACTTTGCTCAGGTAGTCGGGTCGACACGCGGCGATCACTTCACCATTTGGCATACGGTGGAGCGCCAGCTCGCCCAGCACCTTGTCTCCCGTCTCGAGCTCCACAGGGTCACCACGGCGCGCGGAACCGATCGTGACGAGGGACACCCAGCGGCCTCCTTCATTCACCAGCTCCACATCCGCGTCGAGGACCTCGGGAGTGCGGGTGCCTCCCACGAGGAGGTCTCCGCCCTCTGGGGGCCCAAGAGGAGGCGGCAGAGCCGGCAGCGGGCGCCCACGCGCACGCCGGTAGATGCCCTCGTGCAACTCCAACGGCTGCCTCTGCCCCATGGCGTCGGTGTACGCCGTCGGGCCCACGACCTCCCCGCCCTCGGACACGGCGAGCTGGTACCCCTCATTGATCAGGTCGAGGAGCCGCTGCTCGTCCGGGTAGTCGCGGAACCTGTAGGTCTTGCCTCTGAGGAAGAACGGGAGGGTGCCGTCGGCCGGCAGGATGGCCGCGCGGCACGGACCCGAGTCGGGATCCCCAGCCATCACGTTCTCTATGTACATGTCTCCATCGGGGGTGTACACCACCCAGTGCTGGGCGTCGACCTGGAACAAAATTTGACGCTCATGCCACACATCATCTTCCGTGTAGAACACGGCCACATAGCTCCCCGCGAGGAGCTCATTGCAGAACTCCTCCTCCACGGCGGCGTGCCCTGTCTCCAGGAGCAGGGCGGCCAGGCCCTGCCAGCGCGGCACGCCCGGGGGAGCCGAGGCCGTCGGGCGCGACTCCCGCAGGGGAGCTCGGCGGCGCCTGGGTTCGGACGCCATCTCGTCGACGACAGGCGCAAAGACGGCCTCCCAGCACCAGGACGATGTGGCCCACCGCGCCTCCCGCCAGGTGCCACAAGCCCTCCTTCACGTCCTTGTCCGCCTCGGGTGGACACTCCGGCACCTGTGGGCACGAGCAGGTGCAGGCTGGCGCCTGTGGGCAGCTCACGCCCTCCAGCGGCCCGCTCCAGTTGGTCAGGGCCTCGCCAGCGGCTGCCGCCGCCGCGGCGGCCAGGCTGGCCGCGTCCGCGGCGGAGTAGGCGGCCTGGGCGGCCGCCTCGGCACCTGCGTGGCCCGCCCCCTGCCAGAGCCCGGCCTGCTGCAGGAAGGTCTGATACACCAGGTCGGCGTGCCTGAGCAGCACTGCACCCACCACGCCGGCTGCGGCGTGTCGCGGACGCAGCGCCAGGGCCATGCACTGCCCGGGCCCCAGGAAGCCCCCCTCCTGTATGAGAGAAAAGCTGCGGAGCGAATAACTCACTTCTACTCTCGAATCCCATGCAGAGCAAACCCAGGAGGAGGAGGAGGAGGGGGAGGAGGAGGAGGAGGAGGAACCGCAGAAACCCACGAGACACACATGAACATCAATGTTCGGCGGGCGGGGCCTCGGCTATGAGGGCTGGGGCGTCCTCGTGGGACGCTTTCGAGGCCCTTTGGGGGGGGGGGTTCTCTGGACCCTCTCGGGGCTTGTTTCTAGCTCTATCGGACCTCTGTGGATGTCTGTTGTGACGATTCTGCACCGTCTGCAGTGCCAGTGGAAAGCCTCTTATGGTCTCCTTGGGGGGGGGGGGCTCGGCGAGCTGTGCAATCCCTCTTGAGTTGACACTGAAACGGCATGGCAATATGGGGTGTCTACCGAAACTATCGTAGATCCTCCTTGGAGTGTGTTGTGGCATCTTGGGGGTCTCTTGGAGGCCTTGTGGGACCTCCTGGGGGTGTATGATGCCTGAGAGGCGCCCGGGGCTCTCGGCACTGATGCAATTTGAAGTTTGGACATCCTCGGAGCCATCCAGGGGCCCCGACGGGGCCCTCTAGAGGACATCTTGAAGCCTCCAGGCCCCTTCGGGGGCAAGAAGGTGCACAATGCCAACGTCAATGTCCAGGACGTGTTCGAAGGAGTTTGGCCTCCGGGAAGCCCTCCGAGCGGCATCTCGGGGCCACCTTGGGCCGACCCGTCTTGGCATGTCTTCTAAGATATTGTTGAAGGGGCCCTGGGACACACAAATAAATACACACAAATAAAAATATTCCCCGTATTTTCCAAAATGTTTGGGGTTTTGGTCTTCCCCCCACTTCCCATATTTTCCCATATTTTCTGGGGAACCGACGATTAATTGTGTCTATGTGTTTCTTTCCCTCCTGAATTGTCTCCTCTGTTTTGACCTGTCTGTCTGGTCGTCCAGGGGCTTCTTGGCGGTGTATTGCTCCGTCCTGGAGTCCACCCCACGCTGGCCTCGTGGCGGCCCGTCGAGTGTGGGGATCCGCCCGTCCGCCCGCACTGTCAAGAGAAGTCCCACCCCCTGGGGTCAAGACCAGGGTTTCGCAACACGTTGTAGCGTCCACGGTGCACCCAGATGGGCCCAGGAGGTTCCCAGAGAGCCCGGTGTGGCCTCCAAGATGGCACACTCTGACACAAGGTGGCTCAATATGGCCCCTGGCATGCCCTCAAGAGGCCACAAGACGGTACCAAGCGGCCACGGAGTCTCCCCAGGATATCCTCGAGAGGCGATTTCGCAATAACAAATCCAAGAAGGCGTTTCAATCAATTAAGGCTTCTCGCACTTTTCCTCCCGATGGGCGTCTGAAGCCTCAAGATGGCTCGACCATCGCCGAGGCGCCAAAGTGGCTACCAGATCGCCCAATGGAGCCCCCAGACAGGCCCAGAAGAGTTCAAAGACTGCCCCAAGAACGTCCAAGAGGGCCCCAAGAGGAGAGCGTTCAGGCTACGAGGGGGGGCGCTGATTGAGGACCTCCCTTTTCTTTAATCGATGGCGTCCAGGACCCTTGGCCCCCCAGGAGGGCCCTCAGAAGGCCCCATGAGGGCCTCAAGAGACAAGGCCCCAACGGCCTTCAAAATGGCCCCCATGAGTGCCCCAAGAACGTGCAAATATAATTCTTCCAAGAGGCTCCCGTACAGAAAGCTCCGCGAAGGCACGCACGGTTGACCCCCTTGTCTGCTCTGGCCGACTCCGAACCTCGGTGCGACGGCTGGCTGGCTGCCCCGCCCCTCCGCTGCCCTGCCCGCTCTGCACTTCCCTGATCCAAGCATATGTGGCCCAGAGCATCGCTTCCGGAAAGAACCTTGCCGTCGCTCGGACGTCCATTTCCCGTGCATTTGTCGGTTTCGTGCGTGCTTTTTGTTGCTCGATGGCCCAGTATGGTCCTCGATGGTTCTCGCCGAGAAGAAATGCGCACGTCCGAGCGATGCCAAGGAACGGTGGGGAGACGCGACGCGCGAAGAGTCGTACTGCTGCGCCCGCACCCGCATCCGCGCCCGCACCCACCGTGCCGCTCTCGCCTCCGCAGCCAGGCGGTGCGATCCCCCGGGTGGCGCCGCTCCTCCTGCGCCTCGGGGACGCCGTCGACGAGCTCGCCGGAGGGCGCGCCGACGTGCTCGACGGAGAAGCCCGAGACCGCCACCTCGGAAGAGGCCCAAGGACACGCAAGCAAAGGCACACAAGTACCCATATATTCCCCCTATTTCCGCATATCTGCTGGGCTCTGCCTTTCCCCCCCCACTTCCCATGTGTTCCCACATGTTCCTGGGAATCGACGACGACGACGACGACGTCGACGACGACGACGACGACGACGACTGGTGTCTGTGTGTTCTTGTCCCCTCCCGGACCTTGTCGGCGCAGGTGCCCTCGCTCCGCAGGACGTCCTCCGTGCAAGGCCCCCGGCGGTCCGCGCCCGGCCCGTCCAGCCACAGAGTGTCGCCGGAGGCCCAGTAGCCGACCTCTCGGAGCCGCGCTGGCCGCAAGCACCACTTAAGGAGTTCGGGCCTTTGCCTCCTGCTCTTACGCCGCTCCCATGGTACTGAGGGGCCACATCCCGGAAATACTCCAAATCCCTTATGAATCACCCCCCCCCTAAAAAACCGGACCCCCCTCCAAATGCGACCTGATATTCCGGGCCCCCCTCTTCGACGGGGCGCCTGAATAAACCGGACCCTCTATAAGCTCCGATCCAAAGCAAGCGCCCTGATATAAACCAGACCCCCCCCAGTTACAGAAAAGGCGCCTTAAAAGACCGGACCCAGGGGACGATTACTAAGGGATTTAGAATAAGTTCGCGCGCCCAGAAAAGTGTCGAAACAGTGTCGAGCGAGTAACTATCGCCTCCCAGGGCCCGACACGTGAACACCCTCGAGCATCAAGAAAGTGCCGAAACGTGAGTCACGTTGCGGCACGTTCTTTGTGCTCGAGATTCTTTTTCGGGTGGTCAAGGCTAGAGTAGGTTGGAACATCATAATCCTACTCTAGGCGGCGCGCCAAGGGGGGAGTGAGAAGGGGTGGGCCTTCTCAGAAGGCTCGGAAATTCCCTGGCCTTCTGAAGAATTGTCTAAGCTTCCCCCGAAGGCCCGAAGGCACGGAAAACCCCGCAGGAAGCGCGCGGGGTTCTAAGAAGCCCGGCCGCCTTCTGAGATAAAACAGGGCTAGGATCGGGATAAATCGCTCCAGAGCGTTCCGGAGCGCTCTCAGAGCGTTCCGGAACGCTCTGGAGCGGCCGCGGCGCCCAATACATCCCCCAAACCCGCCGATTCTCAGAGATTTCGAGTTATCCCGATCCGATTTTGTCCCGATCTTCGCGTCGTTTTATGAGAAGGCATTCTCCTTCTCCCTATCCCCCATCGCTCGCCGCCGAACCAGGTTCGGCCTCCCTCTCCTGCCCCTCCTGGCGCGCTCCTCAGCCTCTCGATACAGCCGGCCCGTATCGGGGGTGGACAGAACCCCCAACAGTAACACGTCGATTAGTGAATTGTCCGTTTTCGGTTCTCGAGAGGGCGCCGTGGCCGTCATTTTCCAGGCTTGCGCCCGCCAGGTTTGGGCCTCAGGTCGTTTTCACTAAACCACGTTTTACTATAGGGGTGTCTGTCCATCCCCGACCGTATCATAAGGATGCGCGATAAGGATGCAAGGGCCTTGGACGCACATTTCGAAGCTTCTCGAGCGGGGCGCGGCCCACGAGAGTGGCCAAGGATGGGCCGAGGAGGCAAGCATGCAAGGGCTCTCCTGGGAAAGTCGCCCATCCTTCCTGTGCGGGTCGACTGCGTGCTGCCACTCTCCCTGGTGCCTCCCACGACCAGACAGCCTCCTCGAGGGCTGCTTCTCCTTCTCCTTTCCCCCCATCGCTCGCCGCCGAACCAGGCTCGGCCTCCCGCTCCTGCTCCCCCTGGCGCGCTCCTCATCCTCTCAGTACCCATCGGTCGGAAGAACTACAGAGAAACATGGCACAGGAAGGCGTTGGAAGCAGCTGACGTGTCCGCCCGCCCCCCGAAGAGGACGGAAGAGGGCAAGCCACTCGATCACTGAGGCAGGACGGCGCTTAGCGTAGACTGCATCAGGGTCTCTTAACAACAATCCGCCGATCCGGCGTGTGAGTTTCTGAGAGCGTGGACTTGAGCTCGCTCAAGCTTCGCTTTGGGGGGGGGGGGGGGGGGGCGTACGTTATTTCCGACGTCATTTCCGACGTTTTTCGGTACCCGGGGATATTTCCGACGTCACTTCCAACGTTTTTCGGTCTCACCCCCCTCGGATCGGCGGCACTGGCTGGAGGCCAGCCCAATACCATGCTTCCAACGACCGGCGTGCATGCTGACATGCTTCCCAGCGCCTCCCGAGACCGGTCGCACAACTCCCCACCTCGAGGGCGGGAGTCCCTGCCTCTAAGGCGGACCTGTCCCCCTACAGGGGGGATTGTCGACGAAAAACAAAAAATACTCCCAAAATAATCCAAAAATAATCCAAACATAGTGTGGGGACTATTTTTTTGATTGTTTTTTGCCTTTTTGGAAAAATTTGGGGTATGTTTGGTTTTTCGTCGAAAATCCCCCTCTAGGGGGCCAGGCCCGACCTGACCCTGCCTCCCCACCAGCAGTGCGGCCCGTGCCACGACATCGCGCCGGGCACCCGCTGCCAGGCAGCGCCCCATATGGGCCGGAGAGCCGTCGGAGGCGCGGGCCCCGAGGCCGACGACGGGCGCGCCCAGCACCCCCGTTCCCCCCAGCCGGGCGCGAGCCTCGCTGGCCCCCCCGCGTGCCTTGGCCGCCCCCTCCCGGCCCTCCTCGCGCAGCACTCGAGGATGGTGTTCTTGGCGCGCCGGTGACGGCAACACCAATCCACTTCTCCCTCTGGGACTTCGCGCGCCCCGCCTATAGCTCTTGACCGGAGGGGGGCCCGCTCCCGACCCGCCGACCAACCAAAAGTCTTGGCCGCCCCGGCGACCACGGGCGTCAGCCCTCTCCGCAGGGCCTCCGAGACGTCGGCCTCCCGCGGGTAGTTCGCGAGGCGCAGCGACAGGTTGCACGCCTCACGGGGCCCGGGCAACACCGAGAGCTGGGCAGTGGGAGCACCTCGCATCGCGCGGTGGATCGGGCCGCATCGGCACGGAGAGTCGGAATCGAAGCGGATCGGCTGCACCAAGATGCACAACAACGTCGTGCAAGCGTAGGGCCGCATCGGATCATCGGAACATCGGACTCGGATCGGATCAAGCCGGCCAGAATCGGTATCGAATCGGAGCAGCGTTGACCCTGCCTTCTGTGACAGGAGCACCTCCATGGCAGCGAGGTGGTTGTTGTAGTCCACGGGGAAGGACACCTCGACGTCGAACTTTTTCGTTGTGTCGATGCACTTGCCACCTGGGCCATAATCCTCCTTGGTCCATTCCCGCGGCCCCTCGGCCCCACCGTACCCCACAGGAAGGCCCGTGTGGTCGTTCTCTGCGCGAAGGTTGGAGTGCCAGGCATGCATGTTGGCGCGCATGACATCCACCTCTACGCAGCTCTCGCCGCACAGGCTGCTGGCGTCGCAGTAGAAGTCCGAGCAGGCGGTCGGATTCTTGTTGAAGCGCATGGGCATCAGTCTGAGCTCGGCGACGCAGCCGCAGCCCGCGCCGCCGATGTCGACGGTGAACTTCAGCCTCTTGCCCAGCAGCTCGAGGGCCGTGTACTGCTCGTTGTCGTACTCGCCCGGCACGCAGTCGTCCGCGAAGTAGGCCCGCCCCCCGAGGTGGGGCACCACAGCCCCCGCGTGCCTGGAAGAAGCCAAACCGGCATAGAGCAAAAACGATTGGAGGTCCGGTGGACCGCCCCCCTCCCTGGCGGCGCCGTAGGCGCCGCCAGGGCCGCCAGTGGGGGTCCAGCACCGATCCAGTAGATCCGCGCAGGCCTCCGAGAGGCTCACTCACGTTCATGCCGTTATTCGTTCTTCGATCCTCCTGCTGCTGCTGCTCCTGCTTCCCGTCCTTCCACTCGTCATCCTCCTCCTCCTTCTCCTCCTCCTTCCTCCTCCCCCTCCCGCTCCTCCTCCAATTCCTCATTCGACTGCCCGTCCTGCTCGACCTTTCCGCCGACCGAGCTCCTCCGTCGCACTCCCCTCCTCCTCCTCCTCCTCCTCCTCCTCCTCCTCTTCCTCCTCCTCCTCCTCCTCCTCCTCCTCTTCCTCCTCCTCCTCCTCCCTCCTCCTCCTCCTCCTCCTCCTCCTCCTCCTCCTCCATCCTCCTCCTCCACATCCTCCTCCTCCTCCTCCTCCTCCTCCTCCTCCTCCTCCTCCTCCTCCTCCCCCTTCGACTGCCTGTCCAGCTCGACCTCCCCGCCGACCGGGCTCTTCCAACCAGCGGGAACGACCGAGACCGCCGCCTCGCCGGCGACGTCCACCTTGCCCGGGCAGGCCGGCTCCCGCTGCCCGCCGGGCTCGGGCTCGCTCCCCTCGGCCGCCAGGACCTCACCCTCCTCTGGCGGGACGTCCTCGTGGGGGGGCAGCTCCTGGAGACCGGTTCTAAGTTTTCGGCGACAACCCTGAAGTCGGGCCTGTCCCTCTACGGGAGGAAAACTCAAAAATAGTAAAAAATAGTATGGGGACTAATTTTTGAACTTTTCTTTGACAATTTTGGGTGTATTTTTCGACCCTTTTATATTTTTCGTCCAAAATCCACCCGTAGGAGGACATGCCCGACTTAAGACAACCCAGGGTATCCTGTGTGGGGGGGAGGAGGTGGCGGCCGATGCCCAAGCCTTTTCGCCCGGGGCAGCACCACGTGTGCCCGCGCACGCCAGTACTGCGCGTAGCCCCTTCGGATCTGCGCAGCCGACAAAGTCGGGTTATCCAAGGAGTCTGGGGAGGGGCGGGCTCGATGACTCAGCGTATCGCCGGCCCCCCAAAAAACAGCTTCCTGCTCCTCGATATCGAAGATCGAGAAGTTCCCGAAGACCACCGTCTCCCCGCACTCGCAAGTGTCGCTATCGCACGGCCCCTTGCCGTCGTCGCCGGTCCCGTCCATCCACAACATCTCCTTGGACTTCCAGTAGCTCACGATGGGCGTCATCCCTGAGTGCAGAGCCTTGGTGAGCTCACTGTTGCCGGGGTACTCTGGCAGGCTGATGCGCAACGGGCCGTCGCCGCCCTCCTGAGTGAGGACCACCTCCAGCTCGCGCAGCTCGCCGCCCGCGTCCGTCATGAAGGAGCAGACGACGTCGAAGGGCTTCTTCGTGTCGATGGAGGACGCGCCCGGCCCGTACTGGTCGCTCAGGAAGTCGCGGGGGCCTGGCCAGCCGTCGCCGCCCCCGTAGCCGCCGCCGAACCCCTCGTGGTCCTTCGCCGTGTGCAGGGTGGTGTGCCAGGCGTGCTCGTTCGCCTCCATGATGTCGATCTCCGCCTCCGGAGCGCTCCAGGCCAGGGCCCAGGCTGATCCGAAGCGGACCCGCTCGGGACGGGGCACCTCGCCCCGGCATCGGCGATCCATCGCCGATGGCTCGGCGAGGGGCCCCCGACGATCGACTCCGCACGCTCTGGGGCGGGGGGTGGGGGCTGCCGGGCCCCATCTCGGCGATCGGTGGGCGATGGGGGGGGGGGGTCGCTGCGCTCCGCCCCTGGGCCTGCTGGCCCCTCCCTGCCCCCAGCGCTGCCTCCATCGGCGACACGCAAGAGTGACCCCTGGGTAAGAGTGACCTTTGGTGCGCGGCCTCTTGGGCGCCGCGGGGGGGCCAAGCCTGGGCGCGCAGGCTGCTGCTGCCGCCTCGTTTTCAGCCATCTGGGGGCCCATCTGTGCCCGCACCAAAGGTCACTCCGGCGAAAGGTCACTCTTACGTGTAGTCGACTTCAGGCATCCACGGCCTGGTCCTGCCGCACGGTGGCCGCCCGGCTCGATCGATGCCGCAGGGCTGGGCTCTGCTGCTGCTAGGGGGCCTCATCGGCGACCGGCCCGGCATCGACCGATCCAAGGAGGGGCCAGCTCAATGGGCTGATCGATGTTCGATCGGCAGATCACGGAATGCTATGGTCTCCACGCAGGACTCGCCGCACACGTTGTTCGCATCGCAGTAGTGGTCGTAGCACTCCGACTTGTGGGGGTTCTGGCGCATGTTGGTCAGGTAGAAGGCTACATTGCAGCCGCAACCAGCGCCAGACACGTTGACCGTGAACTTGAATCTCTTCCCGAGGAGATTCTCTGCAAGGTACTGCTTGTTCGAATAGTTCCCTGCTGTGCACTCCTTCCCGAAGTACGCGCGGCTCTCGATCGTGGGCCGCAGCTCCAAGCCCTTCTGGTCCTTGACTCCTCCTTCTCCCCCTCCCACTTCCCTCCGCCTCGCCTCGAAGAAGAAAAACGACACAAACATAAACTTTTGGAGCTCAGCGCGGACTTCTTGGGTCTGCGCTGAAGCCCCTCCCTGGCGCGCGGAGCGCGCCAGGGCGGCGCCGGAGGCGCCGCCGGGGGGGCCCCGGGCGCCGATCCAAAGAATCCGCGAGGAGCGCCAGATGTTGATGGTTTGGCGTCTTTTCTTCTTCGATCGCCCTCGTCTCCAGAATCACATACAAAACTCGGAGGTCCTCGCATAGTCATTCGGTCGGCGCTGGCGCTCTCTGGCGCCCGAAGCGCAATTCAGGGGCGTCGCCCAAAGGCGCCGGCCAAGGGGGGGGACCCAGCATCGACCACGGGGAAATCCGCGCGGACCTCCGAGAGAAAGATGCTTGCGCCGCTACCTGTTACTCGATCATCCTGTTCTCCTCCTCTTCCGTCATTCAGAGAAGAGAAAGGAGCCCATAAACTTTTGGCGCTCCGCGCGCATCTCTTGGATCCACGCCGGAACGCCCTCCCCGGCGCGCGGAGCGCGCCAGAGACGGCGCCAGAGGCGCCGCCAGGGGGGATCAGCGCCGATCCAAGAAATTCGCGCGGAGCCCCCAAAGTGGATGTTTATGCAATTGTTTCTCCTTCGATTGATCCCACTCCCCCTCGTCCTCGACAAGGGGCATAGGCGCAGGGATGCCGACCCAGCCCGTAGGGATAATGTGCACGTCGCCTGGGGAGGGGAGGCAGCAGCAAGAAGATGGGGAGGGGGGTAGCAGGATCCGGAGCGGGAGAAGGGCGCCGAGCTGCAGTCGGAGGATGGCCGCGGTTTGTTCACCAATCGCGGCGGAGCCCAGCGGCCGGGCGAGGAAACGGCGGACGACAACGGCAAGAACGCGAGAGAGAGAGAGGGAGCGAGAGGGAGAGAGAGGCAGAGGGGGCCCAGGGAGCGGTGCGGCGACAGACCGTGCGGTGACCTCGAAATCTCCCCGAAGACCTCACCGCACAGCCCGTCGCCGCACGGGCTCTGGGACCCCGGAGGCCCCGGTCGCCCGAGGCCGCTCTTGGAGCACGGCCCGAGTCCCAAAACCGCGCGGCCACCCCGAGTCGTAGGTCGGGCGTGTCCTCCTAGAGGCCAATGTGGGACGAAGCATATGGCCCAGACCCCCGACGTAATGACTTTTTCATTACGTCGACCCCCAGAGGTCCCGACCCTTTCCCCATGACCGGCTTTGCATCCCGAGTCGTTTTTTGACGCTCCCGAGGCCCGGTGAGGGCCCCCGGAGGCCGAAAATTAGGAAAACCCTCCCGTCATGATTTTTTCATTACTCGAGGGGGTCTGGGGAGCAAGAACCCAAACGTATTCAGACATAAGTAGTCCATGCAACAATCGAAAATGCGCACCCACACCACACGTGAACTATTTTTCGGACGTTCCTCCCGTGGAGCGGTGCTGTGGCCAGGATTCGGACGGGCATGTACTCCTACAGGCGGGTTTTGGGCGAACATTTAATATGTATATATATATATATATATATATATATATATAAATAACCTGCCACGCACCCCAAAAAACTATCCAAATAGCCAAAAATAGTCAACAATCGCCCCGTGCTATTCTTTGACTATTCTTGGATACTCCTCCTGTAGAGGGACATGCCCGACTGAACCTGAGAACCCCCCCGACGCAACACGCGGCGTGGTTATCCCGCACCGCTCCGGGGCCCCCGAGAGGCACGCGGCCGCGCCGCCCCCCCCTCGCCGCCCCGGAGCGGCTCCGGGGCCCGACCTGTCCCCTTACAAAGGATTTTCGACGAAAGCTAAAAAATACTGCAAAAATAACCTAAAAATAGTCCAACAATAATACAAAAATAGTCTGGGGACTATTTTTTTGAATATTTTTATCCTTCTTGGTGCATTTTCAGGGTATTTCTTAGTTTTCGTTGAAAATCCCCATGTAGGGGGCAGGCCCGACTTCACTCCAAGGGAGCGGCGCCACCCAGAGTTAGGCCGGGCATGCCGTCCTACAAGGGGGTTTTGGACGAAAGCTAAAAAATAGTCCAGAAATGCTCAGAATAGTCAGAAATCGTTCCCAGACTATGTTTTGAACATCTTTTTGGAACGTTCCTGCTGCAGAGGGACACGCCCGACTTAATCCCAGCGCGACCCCGGAGCGGCTCCGAGACCCAGACCCCTTCGCGTTGGGGAGAGGAAACGCGACGGGATGACCATGGCCGTTGTCGGCCTCCACTCAGGGCCCCTGCCCGGGGCCCCTCTAGGGACCGTCCACTAACAGACTCAGGATGCCAAACCGGTCCCGGGGAAGAGGTCCAGACCTCCCTCCTCGCCATCGCTCGGACGTCCATCCCTGGTGTATTTGTCGATTTCGTGCGTTTTTTTTTTGTGCCAAATCATCAAGGATGGTCCTCGATGGCCGTCGCCGAGAAAAAAATGCACACGTCCGAGCGATGCCAAGCCTCTGGGGGTCGACGTTCTGTGAACAACTCGGGACGTCGGGGGTCTGTGAACGTGGCCCCGAAGGCGCGGGTATAGACGGCGTGAGCTCCGCCGCCAGAGGCCCGAGGGCCTGTGGTGATACCCCTCCTGCCCCCTCCTGCCCCCTGCTTCCACCTCATCCTCTCCCTGGCCACGCTCGTCACCCTCCTTCCTTCCCTCCTCCCTCCCCGCCCTTCTCCTCCACGCTCCTGTTCCTACTCCTATTACTTCTCCTCCTCCTCCTCCTCCTCCTCCTCCTCCTCCTGCCCCCCCCCGGCGTCATCAAAAAAGGCGATTTGCAAAATGTGCTGACGCGGTCGGCGGGTGGGCAAACGAGGAGCACTCCAAGGAGGCGAGCTCAGCGTGCAGAGCTACAGGGATGTTGCTGGCCCTGGTGCCGGCTGCAACGGCTCTGAGCATTCGACGGTGAAAAACTGGCACAGCCGAGTTTCACTGCCGCTGGCACGCCATCTCGTGGCAGGGGGGCATCCAACAGAACGCCCGACCCCATCCGGGAGCAGGCCGGCGCCTGCGCCAAAGGCCCTCCCCGTTCCGCACGGGGAGGGCAGGAGGAACAAGAGAGGGGGGGACGAGGAGAAGAGGGCAGGAGCAGGAGAAAGCACTGGCAGTGGGAGGAGGAGCAACGATGAAGAGCAGCAGCAGGAACATGGGGGACATGAAACAAGGGCGAAGGATTGCAAAAAAACCCAAGGATTGCAAAAAACCCTTCGTTCGAAGGATTGCAACAAAAACCCTTCGTTCGAAGGGTTTTTTTGCAATCCTTCGTTTTTTGTTTTGCAATCCTTCGAGCAGGACGATGAGGACGGTCTGCGCGTCGCCTTCGATCCCATCGACAGGGACGGTCCCTGGACACTTGGGCGGGGGCGCCTTCTTGTACACCTTCCGGGGCCGACGCTCCCTCCAACTCGACCTCTGCCTTCGCCTCCAACTCCTTCCCTCCCTCCCTCCCTCTCCCTCTCCTCCCTCCCTCTCCTCCTCCCTCTCCCTCCCTCTATAGGTCTCTCTTGTTCTTCTTCTTCTGTCAGCTCTCGGTATATTCCCTGTCTACGTGCAAGCGCATGTGTGTGCAGGTTCGCATGCATGTGCATGTGCACCGATGTGCGCGCACGTGTCCCCCACGTTTTGCATACACACATGCCCCTCCTAATTCATCGTCCTCCTCATTATTCCTCCACTGCCTCTGCTTCATCCTGTTCATACTCCTGGTATTGATTCTGCGCATCTTCTAGACACTCCAGCACAAGCTCCCCATTCAAAGAATATTCCTCCTCCTCCTCCTCCTCCATCTTCCCCTATCCGCCTGGTCTCGTCCTTCCTCTTCTATCCTTACCTTCTCACTCACTCACTCACTCACTCACTCACTCACCCCCATGGCGCACGCCGCGGTGTCTAGCACCTCCACATGGCCGCGCCGTCGCGTCGCGCGGCGCCGCGTCCGCCTACCGCAACAGAGCGGGCGGCCAGGGACCCCGCGGGAGGAGGGAGAAGGCTCCAAGGCCCTGCGGAAAAAGGACAGCGGGGACCCCAAGCCCAAAACACCCACGGGCACGCCCAAGAGGGGCCGAGGCTGGGCCCGACGCCAGAGGAGAGGGAGACGCCAGCGAGGGCGCGAAGAAGAGAGGCGGGGGCCCGCGAGCCCACGAGGGGAAGCGGGGGGGGAGGGGCCTCAAGGGCCAGGAAGGGGGGAGGAAGCCCATGGCAGTGCACTACGCTGCTGGTCGCGGCCGCGGCGCATCACCACCCGCATAGCCAGCTGCCGCCTGCTGCCAGCAACCAGCCGATTGAGGCCGATTGAGTGATTTGGTCGTGGTGGGACGCAGGCGGCGACACGCCGTCGCCCGCTGCGGGGTGAGCAGTCGCCGACCCTCAGCCCCCAAGGAGAGAACGGGGGGGGGCTCGTGGGGCTCCAGGGGCCAACAGGGGGGAAATGGGGGCTGAGGGCTCGGACGGGAGCAGAGGGGCCGCAGCTCTGGTTGGGCCGCGCGGCGCGGCGGCCCGCTCAGCCGCCCTCGCGCGCGGCTGCCGCGGCGCCTTGGGCAGCGCGAGGTGCGCCGTGGCGCCCAGCGCCCGAGCCCGTGGCGAGGCCCTGTGGAGGCTGCGCGCGCCCGCAGCACCACGCAGGAACTCGCTCAGATCCCGCTCCGCGGTCGCCAGGTGCCGCAGGTCTATGCCGCCGGCGCAGACCGCCCCCCTGCTCTCCGTCCGCGATGCCCGCAACGCTGGGAACTTGCCCAACGTGTTCGGACGTGGGCGGGCCGCGCACTGCGGTGGCAGGATCAGGGCGCCCCGGGTCTTCATCTTGGCAGCCGCCTCAGCGATGTCGATGGCCAGCCGTAGTTCGGCGTTGTCTGTGGCGACTGCTTGCATCTGGGTCTGCGAGAGGTACTTGGCTCCCCAAGGTGCCGTCGGCTCCCGCGGGGCTTTCTCGGCGTCTGGGTCTGCCGTCCATGTCGAGCTCCTCGGGGTGATTGCGATGGCGCTGCGCTGGTTCGCGGCGCGGCACCATCGGGCCCTCGCATGGGGCTCGTCGCGCAGGTCCAGCTCCTCGTCGTGGAAAGCGGTCTCCATCAATGCGTAGTCGCCGCCCGCGTTGTCCCGGAGGTTCTTCTTCAGCGCCCGGTCTTTCTGGCTGTCGCCGTCGATCAACCAGGCGACGCCGCCCCCGCCCGTCGCGCGCCCGCCTGTCGCCGCGGGGCGCAGAGGGGCACTGCCCTCGCGTGCTCGTCGTCGCACGGCGGCGGTCGGGGGCTCTATGCGCCGTGGTAATTCGGCAGGCCGCCGGAGCAGAGGCGGTCGGTCTTCGTCGTCCTCGGTCTGCGCGCGCCTCTTGGCGGGCTGTGGGGCCTTGTCTTCTATCCATCCTCTGCTCTAGGTTCTTGATGGTCTTCGCATCCCCATGCATGGGCCTCTGAACGACGGCGCGGTCCATCGGCGCGCCTAGAGGCGCCCAGTATTGCGACGGCGCAGGTGGCGGACGAGTCGCACCCGATTGCGGGGCCCCACGTCGCAGCATTCGCGTCGAGATCCGACGGCGTATTGTTGCGCGTCTACTTCTTCTTCTTCTTCTTTTGGCGAGCGCGCGGGGGGGGGGGGGGGCTCTTGGCGCGGCGCCTCTTGAGGGGCGCCTCCGTTGAGGAGGCGGCGCCGCAGTCGCACCGCGCACAATGCGTCACGTCGCCTGCTGATGGTCGGAAGGATCGCCCGCGCAGCCTTGGCAGAGCCCTTCCGCGCGCGACAGCTTCTACAGACGGTGCCCGCAGTCCTCGATCCACGATTTTTTAATGCGCCTCCCAAGCTCCCCTGATTGGCTTGGGCATGTTCTTGGTCCCCGACTTGCTGCGCTCGATCCAGCCCTCGGCGTCGCCCCCTGGCGGTAGTTCCCTCGCGCGCGCGTGGTCCAGCAGCCAGCCGAAGTCGCACTTCAGCCGTCCATGCCAATGGTCGTCTGTTTGTAGGGCGACGTCGAGCAGGTCGCGGAGCGTCTCGGGGGCGCTGCACACGACGTTGTTGAAATACCGTAGCCTGCGTGCCGTGGCAGCGGCGTCGGGCCCCGCTCGCCCCGCGGCGACGTAGACTTCCCGGTCGGCAACGTGCTGCGCGACTTGACTTCGGCAATGTAGTCCAGCTGCTGCCCGGTATCATCTGAAGCGTGCGGCGTTCAACTTCTTCTGGTCGGTCGCCGTCATGCCGCGCCAGAGCTCGGCTTGGCATGCGAGCCGCGCGTTGGTCATCGCATCGGCGAAATTGGCGCCCCTCTTGGCGGGGGGGGGGGGCGTCGTCTTTGAAGACGGTCCGCAGCATGGGCTCCAACGCGTTCTTGCGGGCGATGACCCGTCGCTGTACTTCGGGTCCCTAAGAGCCCTCGGCGGCGATGGCGTTGCCCATGTGCTGGTGCTCGCGTGCGACGTCGGCCTCTGCGCCCCATTCGTCGGTGGTCAGCTTTGTCGGCTTCTCATTAAGGTGGGGTTTCGTTTGCTTGGACCTCGGGCCGTTGGCGCAGATGAGGGCCGCTGCGTTGTCCTTCCCGATATTGAACACCATCGCGCGCGCGGAAACTCTCGCACACCATGTCCACAATATGGTTGGCGCGGGCCAGGGTGTCGGTCAGCCCGTTCGAGGGGATAGCGAAAGCAATGTCGTCCGCGTACGTGACGTCACTCACCAGTCCTGGCCCTCCTAGCGGGTTGCACGGAGATTCGGCCCCTCGGGGTTCTGACCGAGATGGTGGGATCTTCGCGCCGCATACTTTGGCTTATCGTGATGAGCGGTCGCGCGAAGGCCATGTTGAATAGCATGTCGGCCTGCGGGGCCCCAGGTCGGGTTCCGCGTCGTGAAACCTTCGAGCCCTCCTGCCCCGCCATGCTGAACCATGTGAGTCGCTGCGCCTCGGCTACGACGGTCTGTAGGCGAGGGTCGGTAACGTGCTCCTGCAGCAGGCCAGGCTCTGCGAGGATGCCGCTCAGGATCGGGCGGAGGATGTCGGGGATGTCAGCTCCGTGGCATACATCGTCGCCGTCATGCTCGTGCTGGGGGATCTGGATCAGTAAGCGTCGCACGACGCGGTAGAAGGCGGCCTTCAGGTCGACGAAGAGTAGCGCGAGAGTCCGCTTGGCACGCTTGGCGAGATGCTGCAGGCATCGTGCCTGGTGGCTCGTTAGCGTGGCGCCTCTCCCTGCACGGCCACCGACCTGCGAGTCGAGGTAGATAATGGCCACCACGTCTTTGAACTTGCTGCGCAAGAACTTCAGTAGTGCTCGGCGGTGGTGTTACATAGTGAGATGGATATGTACGCTTCTTGTCGGGATGTGTCGCCCTTGCCCTGGCCGATGTCGGCGGGGATGGCGCGCTTGAGCGCCAGGGGCTCCTGCATCTGCAGGCTGATCTTGGTCAGCAGCGGGTGGGTTTCTTTTGCGTGACGATGTGGTGCGATGGCCAACACCTCGTTCGCGATGCCGTCGTCCCCTGGTGCGCGACCGCGCTTGTATCGCCGCAAGCTCAGCTCTGTGTCCAGTAAGGTCTGCCCGTTCTCCATGTTGGTGTGCACGTCTTCCAGCACGCTCGTGTCGAACTCGCTGTGCCGTCTGGCCGCGGAGCCGCGGTCCCCCATCACGGGGTCCTCCATCTTGGCATAGTGTCTGATCTGGGCTGCCGCTATCTTCTGCTCGTCGTCGATCACGTTATTGTTCTCGCCACGGAGGTCTGGTATGATGCTGCCGCCCTCGAATTTGCCTTGCTGGCCGCCCCCGAACTTCAGCATCGGCTTTAGCCATCTCCATGCGTTTTGCTCTGCAGGGCTTCGCTGAGCTGGGACGCGTACCGATCGTAGTGCCGTCTCTGATCGATGTCCAGGGATGCGTGGAAACACTTCGTTGTCGCCATCAAGTACATGTTTACCTCCGCCGTCACTTTTGCCTTATCTTATCCTCCTCTTCCTCTTGTTCGCAACCCGTCTCCTCCTCCCCCTCCCCATCCTTGAGTTCTCTTTCTCACGTCCCACATGTTTCTGACTAGTCTCGAACTATAATCCTTCCCCTCCTCATCCTGCTCACCTTCGTTTATCCCTCCTTCTCGTCCTTCTCGTGCTCGTCCTTGCTCTCGACCTCATCCTCCTCGTCCTCTGCACACTTGACCCAATCGTCGGCGTCGTCCTCATTCGCCTCCTTCTCGTCTTCGCCCCCATCTGCATCGTCTCGACTCGCATCGAGCTGGGAGGGTCGGAACGGGCGGGCGGGACATCAAAAGCATGGTGCTCGCGTGCTCGCTCGTTCGCTCGAGCAAGCGAGCGAGCGAGCGAGGGAAGGAGGGTGTCGGTCCCCTCGCCCACTTGCTCGAGCGAACGCGCAAGAGGTCTGGGGCGCAGAATGATCCTACTAGGGCTCGATACAGCTCTAATAGAACCTTACTGGGGCTCGATGCAGCCTTAATGGCAGACTACTGAAGATGGAGTATCGTCGCCGTCATCGTCGTTGTCATCATCGTCGTCATCCTCGTCATCGTCGTCGTTGCAATCGGCATCGTCATCGTCGTCGCAGGCGCCGGCGCCAGCGCCGTCGTCGGTTGCCCGCGGGGGATGGGCGGCCCAGTTCGAACTCCCCCCTTGCAATTCACCCCCCCGCCCCCTCGTTCGACCCCCCCCCCTTGAGGGAGGGGTGGGCCTCCGGTTCGAACCCCTCGCCGTACGATTGAGGGGGGGAGGAGAGGGGGGAGAGGCGGTTCGAACCCCCCTCCCATGAGGGAAGGGAGAGCCAGTTCGAACACCCCCCCTTGCAATTCGAAGAAGCCCCGTGGTTCGAACCCCGGCCCCCCTTCCAAGCGTCCACAGAAGGCGCCCAGTCAAACGTTCAAACGTTGCAACCCCTCCTCCAAGATGGCCTCAAAAGACCCAAAGGACCCCCGTGAGAACCCCAAGAGGGCCCCAAGACCCCCTCAAGGCGTACCAGGAGGACACAATATCCCCAAAAGAGTCCCAAGAGGGCTCCAAGAGGCGATATTGAGGGTTCAATCCTCGTCCTCGTTGTCCTCCTCCTCCTCCTCGTCCTCGTCCGTGCCCTCAACGTCTGGCTTTTCCGTTTCCTCCTCTTCATCGTCCTCGTGGTGGTGGTGATCGTCGTCGTCTTCTTCCTCCTCCTGCTTCTCTCGCCCCCACGCGGGCCCCAGGGATGGCCAGGAGAGGCCCTCCAAGGCCGCCCCTTTGCTCCCAGAGATCTCTCTGTTCACTCTGGTTGCCCGCTGTTTCACTACATGTGTCCATTCGTCCTTTTTCCCGCCATCTATCACGGGTATGGTTTCCGAATGGGCTGGTGGGGATACGCAGCCGACGGCGGGCAGCGACGAGGCGGCGACGGGGCGGCGACGGCGGCCACCTTGCCGCCAGACCGAAGACACGGTCCAGTTCCGTAGAACAGGAGTAAGAGACACCCGAAGTGCAATCACTGTTTTTGTGTAAAAAAGACACTGGGAAGCAGTCGCTGGAACTCAAGCTGTTGCCCTCTGTGATGGTCCGAATGACTAAGAGGAAATGCAGCTCGGATCTTGGATAACTTTGGACGGGCGCGGGCAGAGTATAGCTGGTCTTAAGATAAAAGAACATCCTTCACGAACATGAGACCCTCCGCTGGCAAACCCACCCAAAACATCTAAGGGTACTCTCCCCAAGATGCGCAAAAAACATCCAACAAGCACGGAGAACATGAGGGTATCCTCTCCGAAACAATCTCGATCTCATACCTCGGTCCGACCGTACCGAAGCAGGGCAGGGAGCAGGGAGCAGAAGAAAACCAAACCTTTTCCCTCTCCTCTTCATCCTCCGCCTCCTTCTCTTCCTCCCCCTCCCCCTCCTTCTCCTGCTCCTCCGTCCAGCCGGAACCGGCGCCTCCGAACTCTCCCAAGATGGGGCCCTGAAACAGAGCCGACCGTACAGTGGAGGCCAGTCCACAAGAAACCTTCCACAAGCCCTGAGACCCCAGGACGTCCACCGATTTCTGGCGTGGTCCGCCTCCTTCTGCCCCCCCTCCTCCTCCTCCTGTAGAGGCCAAGCTGGTGCAGTCGGACGTGTGTGAACGATGCGGTGAGGGGCCAGACACGCCTCTCCACCGCAGTTGGCTTTGTGAAAAAGCAACAGGCCCACCAGCGTTTTGGCAGTCAGACGAGCTGGTGGGCGAGGCCATCGCAGAGCACGAAACTTGTCCCTGCTTCTGGATGCGAGGCGTCATCCCCAGTGCATGGACGAAGGTCACGCCACATGCGACGGAGGAAAGCTTTCTCGGATGGAATCTGGTCCACGGTCGTCTCGGCCCTGGGTGCCTGGGTCAGGGGTGTGTCACCTCCCCGCTCCTGGTGTTCGGGGATACCTCAGGGGGCAAGGACACTCATGACAGTAGGCTTCGTCGAGTAGGCAACGCAGTGGCAGTTTTCAACAGTTATTCGCCGTGCGCCCTGGGAGCCCATCTTTTCGGGCCTCTAGTGGGGCCAGCTCAATCGGTTCCGAGAGGGGAGCTTCAGGCTTTCGCATGGTGCATTCGCTTTTCCCTCGGCCCTGCCGTGTATATAACTGACTGTACCGAGATCGCCAGGGGGAGGTATGAAGGCGCCTCCCAGAGCCCCTCTGGCCCTCAGGCGGATTTGTGGCGAAGTATCGGGACCACCCTCGAAGAACAAGGGCGCAGCATCAGTGATGTAGCTGTGATTCAAATCCCGTCCCACCTCACGGCGCAGGAAGTCGTCGAGCAGGGGTGGGACAGCTGGCTCATCCAAGGTAATGCGTGCGTAGATGTGTTAGCAGGAGCATCGGCCGATAAGGCTAGAGTTCCCGAAGACGACATCTAATGTGCACCGAATAGACCGCAAGGCTCGGTTGGTTAGGAGACGTCTTCTCAGAGTAGGGTTAGAATCCATTGTAGCTGCACAAGGGTCCAAGGAAGCCTCGGGATCCCCTGGTGCTCCTGTGGGCCCTCCCGCTCCGAGGCCTCCTCCTCCCAAGGCCCTTGCACGCTTTGCGACTGCCCACACCCTGACCGAAAATGGCAGAGCGTGTTCGGTGCGTTTCAGTTCGACCTCGAAGGATAAGGAGTCCGAAATGGCTAAAACGCGAGTGCGCGCCCCCGCTCCCTGTGAATGCTAAGTTATCCCGAGCCCCCACTGGACGGAGTTTACACTTGGCTGGTGGCTGGACGCACCCCTCACACGCCCTTCGGTTTCACAAAGACCTTGGAATATGGTTGTGTGGGTCCTGCGGATTTTCGGTCGGGCCCAGCTCAGGGGCTTAGCTACTCCCTGTCAACCCCACTTAATCGCCAAGGCCAGGCGCGAGTATCTCGATAGAATCAGTCGCGACCTGTTTCCGAAGTGCTGAGCTTAGCCTGGTTATCACTATGTGATGGCGGAAATCCTGGAAATCCTCCTCCTGCTCCTCCTCCTGCTCGTCTTCCTCCTCCTCGTCTTCCCCCTCCTCCTCCTCCTCGTCCTCCTCCTCCTCGTCCTCCTCGTCCTCCTCGTCCTCCTCGTCCTCCTCGTACTCCTCCTCCTCCTTCTCCTCCTCCTCCTCCTCCTCCTCGTCCTCCTCCTCCTCCTCGTCCTCCTCCTCTCCTCTTCCTCTCCTCCTCCTCCTCCTCCTCCTCCTCCCTTCCCCCCCTCCTCCTCCTCCTCCCCCTCCTCCTCCTCCTCCTCCTCCTCCTCCTCCTCTTCCTCCTCCTCCTCCTCCTCCTCCTCCTCCTCCCTTCCCCCCCTCCTGCCCTCCTCCTCCTCCTCCTCCTCCTCCTCCTCCCTTCCCCCCCCCCCTCCTCCTCCTCCTCCTCCTCCTCCTCCTCCTCCTCCCCTCCTCCTCCTCCTCCTCGTCCTCCTCCTCCTCCTCGTCCTCCTCCTCCTCCTCTTCCTCCTCCCTCCTCCTCCTCCTCCTCCTCCTCCCTTCCCCCCCTCCTCCTCCTCCTCCCCCTCCTCCTCCTCCTCCTCCTCCTCCTCCTCCTCTCCTCTTCCTCCCTCCTCCTCCTCCTCCTCCTCCTCCCTTCCCCCCTCCTGCTCCTCCTCCTCCTCCTCCTCCTCCTCCTCCTCCCTTCCCCCCCTCCTCCCTCCTCCTCCTCCTCCTCCTCCTCCTCCTCCTCCTCCTCCTCCTTCTCATCCTCCTCCTCCTCCCTGAGCCGCATCTCCGCTCCCAGGGCCTTGCCCTGCCCGTCCGCAACGGCCGCCAGGAGCCCGGCGGCCAGGACGAGCCGGCGCGCGGCCCTGCGCGCCTCCATGCGTGCGCGCCGCGCCCAGCCTCGTGCAAGGCCCCCCAGAGAGAAGGCTCGACGCCCGACCTCAATGCTGAAGAGAAGCGGGGAGAGGGGGAGGAGGAGGAGGAGGAGGAGGAGGAGGAGGAGGAGGAGGAGGAGGAGGAGGAGGAGAAGGAGGAGGAGGAGGAGCGGGGAGGAGGAGAAGGGGAGGAGGAGGAGCGGGGAGGAGGAGAAGGGGGAGGAGGAGGGGGGAGGAGGAGAAGGATACATCTATATATATGTATAGAAACAAGCACAACCGCATAAGCATAAACGTTTGGCGCTCCGCGCGGATTGCTTAGATATGCGTGCGCTCCGCCCCCCCTCCCTGGCGCGCGGAGCACGCCAAGGGCGGCGCCGGAGGCGCCGCCGGGGGGGGCCCAGCGCAGATCCAAGAAATCCGCGCGGAGAGCCAAAAGTTTATGTCTATGTCGATTCTTTCGTCTCCGAAAAAAGATAGAGAGGGAGAGAGAGAGAGAGAGAGGACGGTGAGTCAGGAGTTCCAGCAGAAAGTTTCAACCGATCCCACGGTGCTCTGGCACAGCGGCTCTCAGGCCTCGGGGGGCCACAACGGCTCTCAGACCCCCGAGGGCCCCGCCGCTGGAAGGCGACGGCACGCCTCCACGGAGCAAGTGCGGCGCGCAAGTCCACTCGTGCCCGTGGGAGACCTTGCGAAAAAGAATGGGTGCCCGACTTTGGAAGCCATGGTTCCCACACTCGTGGCATTGGGGTGGCTGGCTCTGCGTCCGCCGCCTGCCGCCGAGCCGGCGCCGGCGAAGGCGCCCTCGCTCCACTTCCGCTGCCTCCCGCCAGCCTGCCGCCGAGGAAGAGGTGGCACCCTCTCGCTCCCTCGAAGGCGAGGGCGTTCCTGAAACGCCGCACACGTCACTCCTTGGAGGGATGGCCACCCGCAGAGGGGGGATGGGTCCAGCGTCCAGGCTTCTCTGGGATGCAAGAACAGGAGCGATCCTAAACGTACTGAGCCGGACAAAAAAACTGCGGGGGCGAGGGGCGGAAGGCAAGCCTCCTCCCTCCGTTCTTCCTCCACTCTCCTCTCTCCTCTCTCCTCTCTCCTCTCTGTCCGCTCCTCCCTCCTCCCCCCACTTCTCCTCCTCCTCCTCCGACTCCTCCTCCCTCCTCCTCCTTTGACTGCTACGCTCTCCTCCTCTCACCTCCTCTCTCCTCCTTCCTTCTGCCTCCTCCCCCCTCCCCTCCTCCTCCACCTCACTCCCCCTCCCTCCGTCCTCCTCCCCTCCTCCTCCACCTCCCTCCTTCTTCCTCCTCCCCCTACTCATCCTCCTCCTTCCTCCTCCTCATCATCTCTCCTCTCTCCTCCTCCATCATTCCTCCTCCTTTTCTCCCTCCTCCATCCCTTTCCCTGGTAAGCAACTGCTACCAGTCGCACCACCAGACGTGTCAGTAGGGCGGGCTGGGCGTTTCGCCTGAGACTTCCTCACCACTTATGGTCCTTACGCATGACCGTTGCAACAGTCTTCTGGGTGGAAGGCGGGTGGATTTCAACATGTGGTTCTCGCTTTGGCGCCGCGCACGTTCGTCTTAAACGCTTGCAAAGGTTCACGGGTGGATGGCGGGCTGTTTACAAATTGTGACTCTCGCATGAGCGCCACGCACATTCGCTAACAACAAATGAGCCAGCGTGTTTCTAGCAATGTATGTTGTGCAATGTGTGTGTGTGGGTGTTGCGATCCACGTTGTGCAATGTATGGTTTGCAATGTATGTCGTGCGATCTACGTTGTGTCATATATGTGGTGCATTATTTGCGGTGCAAACTATGTGATGCAATCTATGTGATGCAATCTACGCGGTGCAATCGATGCGCTGCAATCCATGCGTGCCGAGTATGTGGTGCAACCGATGTGGTGCAATGGATGCGGCGCGAAACTACGGGGTCCGATCTGTGTGGTGCAGTCGTTGCGGCGACGCGGCGGCGACGGGGCGGCGATGGGGAGCACGGAGCCGCCAGACCACCACCCAAGCCAAGACGACGGGCTTCGACGAGGCGGCGACAAAGCGGCGACGGCGAGCACGGAGCCCCCAGACCGCCACCCAGGCCCAGACGTTGGGCGGCGACGAAGCGGCGACGGGGCGGCGATGGGGAGCACGGAGCCGCCGGACTGCCACCCAGGCCCAGACAACAGGTGGCGACGGGGCGGCGACAACGGGGCGACGGCGAGCACGGAGCCGCCAGACCGCCAAGCAGGCCCAGGTCCTTAGAAATGCGATAAGAGTCCCTGGGTGCAAGCACTTTTGGGGAAATTGGAACAGCTTCGTGGATTCGTATGGCTGAAGTCCCAGGAATGGTTTTCTGGCCCAGTTTAGGACAGTCAGGACGCAACAGTCATATTGATTCGCGGCGGCGAAGTCCCAGGAATGGTGCTTCGGCAGAGTCTGGAATTCTCAATCGGCTCTTTCCGTGGGGCACTCCCCGCAATGAAAATAGGTTCTTGCAAAAACCTATGAAAGAGGGAACTTGGAGGGAGGGTTAGTTGAAACATCGCTGATGCGCCTTAGGTTTACACTGGTCCTTCTCCTCCTCATCCTCCTCCTACTTCCTCCTCCTCCTGTGAGAGTTCCAGGAGCTGCTCGACTCTTGACCTGCCTACTTTCGCCTCTCTCATGTTCCTTCTCACTTGCTTGGAGACTCCCTGAAATGTGCACGTTTCAGTGAGTCAGTTTATTGGGACAATGTAGTATAGAAAGCGCTCGAATCATATTTGCCAGATGCTCGAGCGGACGAGTGCCAGGTTTCAGCGGATATTGTCAGCCATCATAATAATTTAGTTCAGCAAGCTTGTGCAATTATGAAGCGCAACGCGTGTATCATTCTTGAGTGTGCCGCTCTGCGGGTGGAGCCAGGCCGACGTTCGAACAAGCAGCCCATCGACTTGGTGCTTAGGCGCCGCAGTTGGACTCGCACAACTGGTCGCTGTGTGAAGGTGTGTGGTCTTGTTCACTTTGCCAGGGACAGGTCAAGGACACAGCCCCCTCTCTCCGCGCTCGCCTTGCTTCAATTTGCCTTGCCACCTTGGAGGGAGGGGCGGGGCTATGTGTGCGCGAGCGTGTACCTGAGTCCCCAGACTATTTGTTGACTATTTTTGAATATTCCCCCCTGTAGAGGGACGGGCCCGACTTAAAGGTAGAAACATGAAGTAGGAAGGCGCTGAAAAAAGATGGGGTTCCGTCCGCCCCCTAAGGAGGACGGACAAGGTGAAGCCACTCGATCACTGCAGCAGGAAGGCGCTTGAAGCAGATTGGAACCTGGGAGTCCAGAAAGACTGACTTCTAACGACAGCTAGGTCGAGGGAGGAGGCGAGGGACCAGACGCTGCGTGCCGGTCGCGGGCGGCAGCCGAGACGCCCGGATCCGCCGCCCATCGCCGACGGACCTCCGGGGCGCGATCCCGTGGCTGCGCGGGCGCACGGCTGCGCTCCGCGCGGGGCCCCCGCGAGCAGAACGCCCCCGTGTCCGAGGGGTCGCGGCCCGGGGCCCGGCCCGCGGGGCGCCGGGCACGAGAGGGCCAGAAAAAAACCGGCGCGGAGCGGCCCGAGGTTGAGTCGGGCCTGTCCCCCTGCAGGGGGAGGTTGGAGGGAAAGTAGGAAGTAGTCAAAACATACCCGGAAGGAATCAAACAATACTCCAAGAGTCGTCAACAAAATGAGAAAAAGTAAAGAATAATAAGAAAAAACCCAAATGGCCAAACATAATCTAAAACAATACTCCCCAGACTATGTTTTGACTACTTTTTGACATTCCTCCTGTAGAGTGACAGGCCCGGCTGAAGCCCGAGGAGCAGCGGGCCCCTCCGGAGCCCCAGCGGCCCCTCCTCGCAGCGTCCTGGCGGCGCGCTCGCGAGGCCCAGGCGCACGGTGCGGGCGCGGCCGCAGGAGACCCTCGCACGGAAGCCAACCCTTGCCGTCGCTCGGACGTCCGTTTCCCGTGCATTCGTCGGTGTCGTGCGTGCTTTGTGTTGATCGGTGGTCCAGGATGGTCCTCGATAGTTCTCGCCGAGAAAAAAAGCGCACGTCCGAGCGATGCCAAGAACCCTGAGAACCCGTGCGCGAGGCGCACCCGAGGGGGAGCCTGGAGCACCCTGAGCGCAGCAGCTCCTTCCACGGCTGCGGGAAGTCACCGCGCAGCGCGAGGAGCGAAGAAGCCCAGGATACCCTGACGAAAAGCACATGGTTTCTTGATGCGCGCCCCCACTGTACATGCACCACCACCGCCTGCAGAGCAGGGGGCAGACCTTGTCAGAGCGCGGGCTGCGCCGGACGGCGCCACGCCTCCGCAGCGACCAGGAGCGCAGCGCGGCGCACGGGCGCCGTTGGAGGAGGTGCCCAGACAAGACTGCACATCCTTCGAGCAGGAGATCGATTACAGAATGGATTTGCCCCCAACTTCATTTCTTCGTCGAATCTGCGACAAACGCGTATGATGTTCGCATATCTACGAGCATCCTGCGTGCATTTCGCAGGCTCGACGAAGAACAACTCCATTATGAGATATACCGATTATGTGATCGACTTCCTGCTCAAAATCTTGGCAGTGGTGTATGAAAACCCGGTCCCGTTGCAACCCAACTCATATTTAACAACACCACGTTGGTTTTTGATGAGTCCCGTTCTGGCCCCCGGGCGCGAGGGGATGGCCGGGTCATCGTTGGCGGCGGGGTCGCGACAACGGTTGCCCACAAGAGTCAAACTGCGCCACACCGGATCAAGCGTTTCTCCTCGACCTTGGTGGTGGTGGTCATCGGCCGTGCTCGGATGCAGGGGAGGAAAACAAGGACAGGCGGACAGGAGGCTTCGGAGGCGAGGCAGAAGGATGGGCAGCGGGGGAGGACAGGGAGGACAGGGCCACATGAGGGCAAGGGGGAATGGAATTCCTCGTGCCCGCCTCCTCCTCCTGATTCTCGCCGCCCGTCTCCACCTCCTCTATCCTCTTCCGATTATCCCTCCTCTTGCTT